TTATCATCATGCCAGGGAGCATGGATGCATGAAGGCAGACACAGTTGGTACTGGAGAGGTGGCTGAGAGTCCTACATCTTACAGGCAACAGGAAGTCAACTGAGACACTGGGCAATATCCTGAGCATAGGAAACCTCAAAGTCACAAACAGTGGCACACTTCCTCTAACAAGGCCATGCCCACTCCAACAAAGTCACATCTCCTAATAGTGCCACTCCCTATGAGATTTTTTTTATTTATTTATTATGTATATAATATTCTGTCTGTGTGCAGGCCTGAAGAGGGCACCAGACCTCATTACAGATGGTTGTCAGCCACCATGTGGTTGCTGGGAATTGAACTCAGGACCTTTGGAAGAGCAGGCAATGCACTTAACTGCTGAGCCATTTCTCCAGCCCCTCCCTATGAGATTATGGGGGCCAATTACATCCAAACTACCACATTCCACTCCCTCGCCCCCATAAACTTTTAACAGTATCATAATGCAAAATTCATTTAGTTCAACTTCAAAAGTCCCTATAGTCTATCACAGTCTCAAAAATGTTTTAAAGCCCATGGTTCAAATACAATCTCTTAATTGTTATCATCTGCAAAAATCAAAATCAAAAAGCAGATCACACACTTCCAACATATATACACAGGAAAATGCATTAAAATTCCAAAACATAGGGAAGGGAGCATAGCAAGGAAATCTGTACCAAAGCAAGACTGAAAACCAGCTGGGCAAACTTCAAACTCTGCATCTCCTTATCTGATGTCAAAACACTCTTCAAATCTCCAAATCAGTTCAGCTTTGTTGACTGCAACACACTTTTTTCTCTTGGGCTGCTTCCACTCCCTGTTAGCAGCTCTCCTTGGCTGGGATGCCATGACTGGCATCTCTAACATCTTAGGTTCTCTAAGGCAATGGAGGCTTCAACTTCACAGCTTCATGCAATGGCCTCCATTCAAGGACACCCTGACACATGCGAGGTCTGAGCAGCTTTAACCCCTTTTCTTCCACCCTTAACTCTAAACCCAGCACCACAGGGCTGAAGCTGCCAAGTTGTGCTGCTTGCTTGGGCTGGAACATGGCCCCTCACTCAATTACATCTTCACCAGCTGTCACTACTTAAGCTTGGCTGTCCGGAAACTTGCCAGGCTGGTCTTAAACTCAGGTCTGCCAGCCTCTGCCTTCTGAGGGCTGGGATTAAAGGCGTTACCACCACACCTGGCTCTAGGCTTTTCTTTAGTTCCTTTTCACAAGTTGGGAATTTAGCTGGGTGGGATCTTGCCCCGAGGTCATCATTCCCTTATTCCATTTCTTAATCTCCTTGAACACAGAATTTAGCTTCATTCCACTTAACTCCATTCCTTTTCTCCTCAAATTTTACATTTTCTTGTTCCCTTTCATTATAAATCTTCATTAGAGTTACCACTAATAACCACACAATTGAGTCTATACTAGGCCGTTTTGAGATTTCCTCCACCAAGGGAATTAATCAAAAATTCTTCCCTTTGGCCTCATCAGACAGGGCAAAAGGCAGCCACTTTCTTCACTAGAATGTCACTAGACCAGTCTCTAGGCTACACACTAGCAGTCTTCTCTGAAACCTCTTGGCCCCCACAGTTCATCAAATCCCACCCAGCACCGCTGCCCATGCTCCATGCTCTAACACTGTGGCCCACTCAGCAGCACTTAGAGCATTCCACTGCTTTCTTAGCCCAGACTCCCAAAGTCCACATTCCTCCAAACAAAAGCATGGCAAGGCCTATCACAGTAATACCCCTCTCCTGGTACCAACTTCTGTCTTAGGGCTCTTATTGTGCTGTGAAGAGACATCATGACCACGGCAACTTATAAAGAAAATATTTAATTGGGGTGGCTCATTCAGTTTCAGAGGTTCAGGCCATTATTATCACGACAGGGAACATGGATGCAGGCAGACATGGTACTGAAGAGGTAGCTGAGAGTCCTACATCTTGCAGACAAGAGGAAGTCAACTGAGACACTGGGCAATATTATGAGCATAGGAAACCTCAAAGTCCGCCCCTACAGTGGCACACTTCCTCCAACAAGGCCATACCTACTCCAATATCTCCTAATAATAGTGCCCAGTCCCTATGAGACTGTGAGGCCCAATTATATTCAAAATAACACATTTTTGGTCGTGTTTTATTGCAGCAAAAAGACACTCTAAAACAGTTCAAAGGCTCTACTAGATTGGTCTTTTTTTGTAAAAGAAACTTACTAGATGAGATATTAATAACTTGACAGACAGACAGCAACATGGCAGGGGCACTGAGGGGATGGATGGCAATCCCAAATCTTTTGGTTACCTCATGTATTCTGCCAGTGGCAAGAAGAAAAAGGAAACAAGGCATACTCTCTTAGCTACTTCACTATTGCCGTGAAGCAACATAATGACCAAGGCGGCTTATAAAAGAAAACATTTATTCTGGCTCATGGTTCCAGAGGGTTAAGAGCCCACGATCATCATGACCAGGAGGAGCATGGGAGCAGGTAGGCAGACATGAAGCTGGAGCAGCCGCTAAGAACTTACATCTGATTCACAAGTTGAAGGCAGAGACATAACAGAAAGTATGGTGGACTTTTGAAACCTTAAATTCTTCCCTCAGTGACACATCTTTTCCAACAAGGTCACACCTCCTGATCCTTCCCAAACAGTTCTATCTGGGAACCAAACATTCAAATATATGAGCCTATGGGAGCCATTCTCATTCAAACCCCTCCCCATACTGGGATGTGTGGGAGGCCTGGTGAGACTTGTCTGTAATTCTAGTGCTCAGAAGGCACAAACAAACAGGATGATCACCAGGCCAGCTTGGGGATACAGTGAGCCCCTTTAAAATAATGTATCAAAGCACCTTAAGTGCCTGGTACAGCCCATCCTCTTCTGGCTGGCTTGTCCTTCCAATTGTCTACTTTAAAATCCTCGGGAAGAGAGCACCTGCTTTTACTGCTTCCTTTTTTTTTTTTTTTTTTTAAGATTTATTTAGCCGGGCGGTGGTGGTCATGCCTTTAATCCCAGCACTCGAGAAGCAGAAGCAGGTGGATCTTTGTGAGTTTGAGGCCAGCCTGGTCTACAAGAGCTAGTTCCAGGATAGGCTCCAAAGCTACAGAGAAACCCTGTCTCAAAAAAAAAAAAAAAAAAAAAAAGATTTATTATGTATACAGTATTCTGCCTGCATGAATGCCTTCAGGCCAGAAGAGGGCACCCAATCTCATTACAGATAGTTGTGAGGCACCATGTGGTTGCTGGGAATTGAACTCAGGACCTCTTGGAAGAGCAGTCTGTGCTCTTAACCTCTGAACTATTTCTCCAGTTCTGCTGCTTCCCTTCTTTGCAACAACATGCTCTGGTGGGAAGAAGTCCAGACTGGCAGTCAGGAAATCAGGGCTTGAACTGGGCTTAATGGCTCATGCCTATACTCCAGACCCTTGGGAGAGGCAGGAGCATCAGGATTTAAGGTCAGCCTTGGCTACACAGCAAGTTCAAAGTGAACCTAAGTCTCAAGAGACCCGGGGATATGTGTGTGTTTACTTAATCCTCATTTTTTTTTTTTTTTTTTTTTTGGATTTTCGAGACAGGGTTTCTCTGTAGCTTTTTGGTTCCTGTCCTGGAACTAGCTCTTGTATACCAGGCTGGCCTCAAACTCACAGAGATCCACCTGCCTCTGCCTCCCAAGTGCTGGAATTAAAGGCACGCATAAGTCCTCATTCCGAGTCTAGACTTCCTTTTAATATTTTATGCGCATTGGTGTTTTGCCTGAATGTTGTCTGTGTGAGGTTGTCAGATCTTGGAGTTACAGCCATGAGCTGCCATGTGGGCGCTGGGAACTGAACCCATATCCTCTGGAAAAGTAGTCAGTGCTCTTAACCACTGAGCCATCTCTCCAACCCCAAGAACTGCAGATTTCTAAAAATACCGAACACTGCTTGTGAGTGTGTGCTGGGAATCGAACCCAGGGCCTTGTGTTTGACACAGAGGTAATTCCCCAACTTCTAAACACACCTATACTACTTACAATGACCAGAGGACAGCTGGGGCACCTGGACCTTGAGTCCTAATAATGTTAAGAAATACACATTCACATATAATTAAAAACAAACTAAATCATAATTAAAAATAAATCTTAAAGAACAAAGTTGAGAGCCATGGTGGCACGGGCCTTTAATCCCCAACACCTGCCTTTAATCTCAGCGCTCAGGAGGCAGAAGGACTTCTGTGAATTCTAGGCCAGCCTTGTCTACATATTAGGACCTTGTCTCCAAAAGAAAAAGAGGAAAAGGAAAAAGAGCTGGGCGGTGGTGGCACACATCTTTAATCCCAGCACTCAGGAGGCCGAAGCAGATCTCTGAGTTCAAGGCCAGCCTGGTCTACAGAGTAAGCTCCAGAAAAGTTTCAAAGCTATACAGAGAAACCGTCTAGAAAGAGAGAGAGAGACAGATATGCACAGACAGAAGATGCAAAGCGCACTATGGGTCAAACATTAACCCTTCACTAAAAAATTCCCGACCTCCGCCATCCCCCGAAGAACCCTTGTTGATTCCGGACCAGCCTTTTCTGTCCTCAAACCTCGGTTTTCCCATCTGTATACGGCCCCCGCTCCCTCCGCACGGCACAGCAAACCTAACCCGAGAGGACCCGATCGGGCTCGATAGGCGCCTTAAATCATAGGCGAAAAGCCAGAATAGCAGACGTTTCCTCCCGCTCACGACACCTCTAAGCCACCCTGGGAGGCGATGTTTCCCCCAGCGACCCCAAGAGGTGTGGCCAGATGCTGGGTGCCACGCCCACAAGAGCTAGGCGCCTCCGCCACGCCTCATCCTGCGTGCCTCGGCGGGACCTGCGTGACGTCACTGCACTTCCCTTGTAGCCATCCGCCACCAGAAAAAGTAGTCCCCCACCCCAGCTTCCCTCACCCCCAGGTAAGACAGCATATAAACTTCTAGAGTCTTTCTGCACCCGACCACGGTTCTAAGCCCTCCGAGAGACCTTCTAAGACTCCGCAAATCTGTTTTTCCTCGGGGGCGGCGGCGCAAGTAGTCCCGGCTCAAGGGAGGGTGATGGGTTCCTCCGCGACGGGGGTGAGAGGATGGCGACCTCGTCGATGCCGGAGTCGGAGAGCGACGCAGCAGCCAGAGGCTCAGGTGAGCGACAGCCGGAGACGGGCCGCCCCGCTGCACAATGCGGTGCACTAGGGTCCTACCGCGGGGCTGCCGGGTGCCGAGCTCCCGGGCCGGCGGGGCTGTCCGAACAGGGCCCCGGGGTCCCAGGCCCTTTAGCCGCTTTAGCATTTGCCTGAGCGGAAACCCGGCGCCGCCACAAGATGGCGTCGGGCCTGGAGCTCAGGCAGCGCCGGGGACAGCCCCGAGTCACCAAGCCCCGAGACCGTCGCTGTCAGCCCCCTCCGCAGGGGAACCCGGGGAGGGGGAGCGAACCACTGACCCCGGGGGCCTGCGGGCTGTACCACTGGGTCCTCATCCGAGGGGACGCGGGGTCCGAAGGGCTGAGCCGCTGTGCCCACCCTGGGTCGGAGGGTGATTCACGCCTCTGGGAGGAGCAAAGGGCGGCGATTGCACGCCGCGACCACCTTTACTGGAGGAGCACCAGCCGGAGAGGCGAGGCGTCCCCGTCCTCTTCTGGAAGCTTCGCTCTCCGGGACTTGAGGAAACCCCTCCCCGTTTGGTCGGGTGCTCAGTGTTTGCATCTGCGGAATGGGCACGCCGATGCATCGGGGTGGGTACAGCTTGGCCGGACCCGAAAGGTGGACCACTTGTTGCAGCCATGGTCGTCTCTTCCGGCAGAGTGAAAGCCGCATACCGTGCACGTTGCTGGCAGGCGATCCCCCGCGCCAATGGAGGAGAACGAGGTGGAGAGCAGTAGCGACGCGGCCCCTGGGCCGGGCCAGCCGGAGGAGCCCTCTGAGAGCGACCTGGGTGTGGGCACCTCGGAAGCCGTGTCCGCGGACAGCAGCGACGCGGCGACTGCCCCAGAGTTAACGGAGGCCGAAGACTCTGGCGTAGGGCAGAGCTCAGACAGTGGCAGCCGCTCTGTGGTATGGACCAGGCTGGACGGTGTGGGCAAGGGGACCATCCAGCAAAGAGCAAAGCTTACTTGTAGAAAAATACTTGTTGATTCTGAGACAGAGGCCATGCCATGCCAAACTGCTCGGAGTAGGTTTTGTTCTTTTGACAAACCCCATAGTTGTTAAAGGGACATACTTATAAAACCAGTTGTTTCCAGGTCCTGCAGAAAGGGAAACTGAGGCAGAGCATGCTGACAGCCAGGATTCCTTATCTCCTGGCCTTCCTAGAGCCCTCATGCTCTGTCAGCCCTTCCTGGTTCAAATGTTGATCCATCTCACAGTAACTGTAGCCTTCCGATCTGTCTAATGGGATGGGAATGTCTGATTTTATGCGTGTGAGGTTGTAAGGGAAAAAAACCCACAGTGACCCATCTCTTCCTGACCCCGTACTCCTCTGCCAAGTGAGAATTAGAAGTGCGTTTATCTCTTAATGCGTCATTTTGCAAGGCAGTGGATGGATGTATCCCGACACCACTTGATGGAGAATACTAAGCAGAGGCCCTTGATGTGCAGTCTAAGGTTTCATTAAGTCAGCAGAAATGGGCCTGCTCTGAGTGTAACATGTGCTAAATTACAGGACAGGTGTAGCCCTGGTCCATATTGGACAGCTCCTCTGGGAGTGCAGACCCGACCTGTCATCATACCACCGTGATGGAGGTGACAGAGTCGCTGCAGAGTGCACACGGAGAAAGGGTCTAAGTAGGGTCCTGCTTGGCTTCCTAGAGGAGGTAGCCACTAAGCGGTTGGGAGAAGTCTGGGTGCAAACTAACAATGGGGTGATAATGGAGGAGTTTGAGGCAGAGAGAGCAACTGATGCAGAAACCCTGTGAAAATTGTCCCTCCTGGCTGTGGTGTGGGGTCTAGAGAGGTCCTTCTTTGAGCCCTCAGGTAGAGCCTGATTACATCCATGGACTTTAGGGCTCTCAGTGCCTGAAGAGCTCTCCTAGTCCTCAGTGGGGTCCAAGTGTAGGTGACTTTATTTGCTTTGTTCTTGGGGATCTGCAGGCTGCTCTGACCTGCCCCATCCCTGGCTCCTAAACTGCCCTCTGCTTCCTGCTCCTAGGAGGATGTATCCGAGAGCATTTCAGCAGACCCCTTGCCTCATGGCTACCTCCCTGATTCATCTTCTGTGTCCCGCGGAACAGTGGTAGAGGTGCCAGGTGGCCCCCCAGCCCTGGTGCATTCCAGTGTTCTCCCAGACCCCAGCATGCTGGTGTCGGACTGTGCAGCTTCCTCTTCAGACCTCGGTGCTGCCATTGACAAGATCATTGAGTCTACCATTGGCCCGGACCTCATCCAGAGTGAGTGGGGAGGGTGTGGTCCTGCAGAATCCCATAGCCAGATGTGTGAATGCAAGATAGTTGCCTTACTGTGGAATGTGTCAGGAAAACTGATAGCTGTTTCCAAACAAGGTGCCACAGTGGGTTCTTAGTATGATGCCCGGATGTCACAGCACTCAGTGGCAGAGATAGTTGTGACAGGAGCCAGTAAGATGGCTGGTGAACAAGTGCTTGCCAGGCAAACATGGTGACCGCTCCTGAACCTATGTAACAGTGGAAAGAAAGAACCAATTCTAGAAAGTTGTCATTATACTTCTATACACATGTCCATATACACACACTGTACATGCAATAGTAATGAATTTTTCTTTAAAAAAAAGCAGTTGTATCTGGCTTTGTGCTGGGAGCACAGGAGGTCACAGATCTTCCAGTGACCCCCAGATGACATGGCTATCGTTAACCTGGCCCACATGAGAATTGAAAGGCAAAGAAGACAAAAAGTGACTTACCCAAAAGTGGTACTTAGAAAAAGTGGAGGGTGGCTCTGGGGCAGTAAGCCCAGATGGGTGCTCCGTGAGTTCAAGCTACTGTGCTGGGTCTTTCATGACGTGCACAATGCCCATCACCTCACAGAGCTCTGGCATAGGCTGAGAAGCACTGTGAAAAAGATAGTGCAGGATCTGTATCTTGAAGTGTGGAGAGGTCAGAGGAAGACATTCTAGCCCATTTGTCAAAGACTGGGCAGCTGGAGTAGTAGCTCTGGCATCCTGGTGCCGGGGCCAGCATTTCCCCACCAGACCTCCCACCATCCTGCAGCAGAAGTACACACGGCTCAAGGAGGTGCTGCTACTGGTATCCAGTTGCCAGGTAAAACCCAAGGGTATGGGCCTACAGCTGGGGCTCCTCCGAGGACTCTCATCCTCATCTTCTTTTGCCAGGCTGCATTACTGTGACCAGTGCTGAAGAGGGAGGAGCAGAAACCACCCAGTATCTGATCCTGCAGGGCCCAGATGATGGTATGAACTCTGTTGCCATTCCCAGGGAACCCTGTAATAGATGCGAGCAGAAGAAGAGGTCTCCATGTGACCCCAGAGGGTTAGCCATTGCCCTTGCCTCGTGGGGGATTTGAGCCTGCCTGAGAAGAGCAGCGGAAACTCTCAGGCAGTCCTGCCTTCCGTTTTCTGTCCTGTCCTCAGGTGCTCCCATTACATCACCAATGTCTACTACTTCCACCCTGACCAATAGTCTGGCAGCCATTGAAACCCTGGCGGATGGCCCCACATCTACATCTGCATGCCTCGAACCTCCTGAGGAGCCCCAGGGAGAACCTAGCTCTCTAGCACAGCCACCCCCAGCCTCTGGCACTGACGAGCTGGACCTGCAGAGCCTGGAGGCCATGATGGAGGTGGTGGTTGTGCAGCAGTTCAAGTGCAAGATGTGCCAGTACCGGAGCAGCACCAAGGCAACCCTCCTTCGCCACATGCGGGAGCGGCACTTCCGCCCAGGTGTGTCTGCAGTAGCCAGTTAGGCCTGGAGGGGTGGGGGGACCACACATAGCCAGACGTGGCAGCTCGCTTTGCTTTTGTAGCAGCAGCAGCAGCAGTAACAACAGCCGCTGGTAAAAGGGGGCGTCTACGGAAGTGGGGCACAGCTACCAAGACCACAGAGGAGGAAGGGCCAGAGGAGGAGGAGGAGGATGACATTGTGGATGCTGGGGCCATTGATGATCTAGAGGGTAAGCCACTCTGCAGGGTAACCCTCTGTCCCCACACTCGTCTACAAATCCTGAGCTCCTGGCTGCCTACCTGGAAGGAGACACATCATTGTCCCTCCAGTACAGAAGAAGCTGTGTGGCTACATACCGAAAACCAGAGCAACAGAAGAATTAGAATGCAAGCAGAAAATAGATGTGTTTTCCATAGCTTTGTTAGCCACAATTTATTTACTTACATATCTAAAATAGTTCAGTGTATGGTCATAAAATCTTAGTAAAACCAGGCACAGTGGTATCTGAAGTACAGGCAGAAATATCAGAAGTTCATGGTCACTCTTACTGCATAGTTAGCATAGTTAGAGGCCAACCTGGGCTACATGAGACTCTTCCCCACCCCAATTCAAACCAATAAAATATTCTTTTTTTCTCTCTCTCTCACACACACACACATATACCATTTGTGTGGATGCTTGTGCAGGCCAGAGATTGATGTCAGGTGACTTCCTCAATTGCTCGCTGCCTCACTTTTTGAGACAGGGTCTCTCACTGAACCTAGAACTTGCTGTTTGTGCTGGACTGGCTAGCCAGGAAGTCCTGGGGACCCTCCTGTTTGTGTCTGGTGTTGGAACTATTGGCATCCACTGTCTGCATAACTTTTGACATGGGTTCTTGGAGGTTAAACTCAGATCTTCATGCACAGCAGCAAGTGTTTCATTGATTTAGCGACTTCCCCAGCCCCTTGTTTTTCTCCAAAGTTTTTGGTTGTTTTAATTGTATGTGTGTCTGTTTGTGGGTATGTGCATCTTGAGTGCAGTACTTCCTGGCTGCCAGAAGAGGGTATTGTATCCTTTGGAACTGGAGTTACAGGCAGTTGTGAGCTGTTCCACATGGGTGCTAGGAACTGAACTTGAGTCCTCTGCAAAAGTAGTAAATGAGCCATCTCTCCAGTTCCTCCCCCTCCTAATTTTTTGAGATAGAGTTTTCCTGTGTAGCCCTTGGTGGCTTCAGACTTGTTCCTCTTGAACATTGAGATTATAGGTATGTATCATCATAACTGGCTCACTTTTTTTTCTCCTGTACTTAGAGATCTTGTATGCATTTTATAACTAAGTTTTTCTGAGTTGGACCAGGCTCGTTTTATGGTTGAATGGCCATGTGTGGCTATTGTCCACAAGGTGGAACAGTTCAGTCTGGGAGCTTGTAGACTCAGTGCTAATTGCCTGTTTTCTACCAGTCGCTTAAGTGACTTGAGAACCAGGTACCTCTTTGTGCTTACAGTTAAGGTGAGTTATTGGCAGGTGCCAGGAAAGGTGCAGGAAAATGAAGGCTAGTCCTCTGTGGGGGAGGGTGCAGATGGCTTCTTGGAGGGGACCTCACTGGCAGAGAGAAAAGTGATGGGGAAGTGGGATTTGTCAGAGTGTGGGTCTAGACACTGTCCTTTACTGTTTCTGCAGAGGACAGCGACTACAATC